CTTACGGTCACATTGTTGATCTTTTCCAAAAACCAGCTCCTGTTCATTGTTTTCGAAGGGTTTTAGTGTTATCTCTCAGTTCTGCTCTGATTTAGTTATTTCTTGCCTTCTGCTAGCTTTTGAATGTGTTTGCTCTGCTTCTCTATTCTTTAATTGTGATGTTAGGGTGTCAATTTAGATCTTTCCTGCTTTCTCTTGTGGGCATTTCGTGCTATAAATTTCCCTCTACACATTCTTTAAGTGTGTCCCAGAGATTCTGGTATGCTGTGTCTTTGTTCTCATTGGTTTCAAAGAACATCTTATTTCTGCCTTCATTTCGTATGTACCCAGTATCATTCAGAGAGAGGTTGTTCCGTTTCCATGTGGTTGAGTGGTTTTGAGTGAGTTTCTTAATCCTGAGTTCCAGTTTGATTGCACTGTCGTAAGAATGTTGTTATGGGTTGAACTATGTTCCCAAAAATTTATATGGTGAAGTCCTAACCCTCAATGTTTCGGAATGTGACCTTATTTGGAAATAAGATCATTACAGATGTTATTAATTATGTTTAGGTCATACTGGAGTAGAATAGACTCCTAAGCTAGTATGACTGGATTGGATTTTAAAAAGAGGAAATTTGGACACGGAGACATGCACACAAGGATAACACCATGTGAAATTTGGAGTTATGATGCTGAAAGAGAAGGAATTACCAAAATCTAGGAGAGAAGCCTGAAACAGATCCTTCCCTAGTATCTTCAAAGGAAACAGCCCTGCCAAAACCCTAGCATCAGTTTAAGATACTGTTTGTGGTGCTCTCTTATAGAAGTCCTAGAAAAATAATATAGATATAAAACTTGAACACTATCAGCCAACTTAACCTAACTGATATTTACAAAACACTCCACCCAACAATAGCAGAATATGTATTCTTATTAAGTCAAATGGAACATTAACTAATATAGACCATATTTGGGGCCATAAAAGCAAAGACACAGTTCATACAATTCTGACCACAACACAGTGAAATTAGAAATTACTAATAGAAAAATGTACTTTTTTCTTTTTCTTTTTTGGCACATAAGTTATATTTTAGCACTTCCATGCATTGTGGCATGTGACATTCAGATGAACCTCTTGTAGATTTAAAATTACTGCAATGAAAAATTTGGGAGAAGCTACAGAAAGTGTATTCCATTTTAATTCAGAAAGGTTCTGGGCAAAGCTTTTTAAGTGAGATACCATTTCAATGAGAAAATTTGGCATAAAATTATACAAATATGCAAAGATATATTCACTGAAATGTGCACTACTGACTTGTTTATAACCACAAAAAATAATAAAATGTAAATATCAATGTTATTTTAGTAACAAAATAAAATGGTGAAAAAGAAAATAGAATATGAATAAGGGTTATGATGTTGCTCAGTTACCAGTACTATAGTGTAAGTTCATCAGTGGCTTACCTTATACTTCAGGAAATTCTGCATTAACTAAAAAAAAAAAAAAAAAAAAAAAAAAGTTGAATGTTATAATCCAAAACCATCAATTTTTTGAAGAAAATACAAAGTTGATAAAGTATTTAATAATCCCTTTAAACCATAAGAATAGTAGCAAAACCACTATCATTTTACATTTACATAAGAATTCTAATTTATAAAGTGATTTCCCATATCTCACCTCACCAAAGTTTCACTATAAGCCAGGTACTGTGGGGTGCACCTGTAGTTTCAGCTTCTCAGGAAGTTGAGATATTGAGCCCAGCCCAGAAGTCGAAATCTAGCCTGGGGAACATAGTGAGACCCCATCTCTGGTTTTTTCTTTTTTTTTTTGTATACTTTAAGTTCTAGGGTACATGTGGATAACGTGCAGGTTTGTTACATATGTATACCTGTGCCATGTTGGCGTGCTGCACCCATCAACTCGTCAGCACCCATCAACTCGTCATTTACATCAGGTATAACTCCCAATGCAATCCCTTCCCCCTCCCCCCTCCCCGTGACAGGCATATAAAAAAAAAAAAAAAAAAGGATTTCATTATGTCCATTGTTCATAAAATAAACACAATAAGGATTATCCTTAGTTAATTGAATCACTCAACTATGTGTAACTTAGCGTGAATATTTTTTTAACCTAGAAACTGAAGTTTTAAGCTAGAAAGTATATTAATCTATCAACTATTTTATTCCATAACTAAAAATGTGTTAAAAGAAAAAAATTCTTCCAAATTACATCTGGAAAATTAAGTGAGATCTATGTTGCTTATTATGATCCCAAAGTGAATGCATTACAAAGCTCAAAACAAAAATCACAGTGTCTGTTCAGAATATGCTCACTAATTTTCTCTCACATGCACCTATCCAATTTTCTCTTCCATTGTTAGAGTCCCTGCATCCCATTACAGTGCAGTTCAGTGAAATGAATGCAGAATTAAATAAACAATATGAAGTGAGTTTGCCTCACAGCAGATATTTGCATTACATCCATGAGAATTCTCTGTTATTAAATTAGCTGCAGGGGGGCTTTTTTATTGCCTCCTAAATGTAAGAGAAATGTTCAAACTAAATAAAATTCCATTTTTAACAACTAAATATTACACTAAAAGAGGTCAAGTCCACCTGTTTTTAATGCTACATGCACGCAACTTTTGATGCAGGGTAACCTTTAATTTTCAATTAAAAATGAGAACAATGTTTGCTCTACATTTTGGCTATTCAGATTCTCCCACAAATAAAGATAGTATTAAAATTGTATTATACTAAAGTTTTCACAATAAAGAAAATGCTGAACTCAATAGGCTTAATGGTATATCATTCCGTTTTTCTGCCTAGTTTATTGCTTACATTAATACCCCCATTAGCCAAAACATCAATGAAGAGCCAAAAAGTAACCCACATAATTATAGTTTTTTAAAAAATGTTGAACTTTGGGGTCAAATGGAACTGATTTTTAAATCCAGCACAATCACCTGCTAGCAAGGTGATTTTGAACAAGCTGTTTAGGCTTATCTGTAAAACAGAGATAATAACCGCTATTTCTCATGGTTGTATGGCAAAAATAAGAAGTGAATAAAGCATGTGGAATAGTTTCTGCACATAATTGGTACTCAGTTGTTTCTGTTGTTATTAGGCTGCTACTTCATAAAACTAAAGCTTCGCTCACAGGAGAACCATGGAGATGGTAACCAAGGGCTTCTTTGCTGCTGTTATGCACATAGCTCTAAATATCTCACCTTTTAAAATTCTCAGTACTAATTTCTTTTATTCATTCATTCATCAAATATTTATTAAATTCCAAGTATATGTCAGGCACTGGTTTAAACATTGGGGATACAATAGTAAACAAAACAAAAATTCTCGCTCCCAAGACATTTGTATTCTTGGGAAGGATTCAGACAATTTAAAAAGTACATAAAATACGCAGCATGATAAATAGCAACGAGGGCTAATGAAGAACAGCAGAACAGGAAAAGGGGATAGAGACTATCATGGTTGGAGGTGAGGGTTCCAGAGTGTCCTATCTTGACATCTACTGAGTAAGTAACATTTAAGTCATGCCGGGAGTAAAATGAGAAGCTATGTAAAGTGGTCAGATTATCATTAAAGCTTGAAGTACAGCTAATAAGATATCTTGACAGTTTGGATATAGACTGTAAGAGAAAGGGAAATATCAAAGATGACTCCAAGATTTTTTACCTCAGCAACTAGAAGAATGCAATCACAGTTTACTAAGATGAGAAAGATTATGAAAGTAGTAGGTTTGGGGAAAGAATATCAGGAGCTCCATTTGGAACATAAGTTTGAGATAACCATTAGATACATAAGTAGAGATTTTAAGTAGCCAATTGAATATATAAATCTGGAATTCGGGCAAAGACCATCCTGAAAATGCTAATTTGGTAGTTATTAGATTATTATCAGTATGTAATCGTAAGACTCACTAAGATCTTTAAGACTCATTAGGAGTTAAGTGAATATAGAAATTAAAGAGATCTAAGGACTGAGACCTCAATCATTTAGATATGATAGAGGGCCTCCTATTATTCAGATATGATAGAGGGGTCTCTATCACTTAGCAATCAGAGAAATTTTTAAAAAGCAACAAATAGGACTAACAAAAACAGTTCAATGAGATAGGAGATAAAAACAGAATAAGTTGCATAGAAAGCCAAGCCAAAAAAAAAAGGTATCACAGAAAAGGGAGAGATCACTGTCACAAAATGCTTTCAAAGGGTCAAGTAACATGAAACTTGAGAGTGTCCATTGGATTTAACTATTTGGACATCATTGGTGACCTTAATAAGAGATGTTTCATTGAAGTGGTAGGAGCAAAAGACAGATTGTAATCAAGAGAAACTGAGGCAGCAAATATAGAGAATGTTTTCAGCAAGTTTCGCTGCAAAGGGAAGGAAAGAAAGTGATGGTAGTAGAAAGGAAAGTAAGTCAGGAAGAGTTTTGTCATTGTTGTTACTGTTTTCAAGATGAGAGAAGTTACCGTATATTGTGTACTGGGATGGGCAAGACTAGTTAGATGAGTGAAACAGCTGGTGGCTTTAGGGACAAGAGGGACATTTTGCTTAGGAGCATGACTTGGGAGTAATTTGTAAATGAAAGAAACTGAGCTGGCTGCAAAGAGGGAGGCGAGAATTCGCCTGCCTGGTATTTTGTTTGCCTAGGTACATACAGCAGGGAATCTTCTAGAAGTTTTCTTCCCCTTGACTTGCCTTATAGATTTTCTCAGTATCATGGAATTGCAGTATCCCCCCAGTCACCCTGAGGAGTGAAGTTTAGGAGTTGAAAAATAGAGTGTAGATTAAAATTATGATCATAAAGGGAGAAGTAATTAGTACATTGGGGAATTGGGAGATGGAGACAGATCTGGCATAGGTTGGGGACATGTCCAACTAGGTGGAGAAAAAACTGATTCTAAATTTCAATGGAAATTGTGGAATGGGATAACAAAATATGTATTTCACATACGGCCCTAATGGGAAAGAATTGAATTTCTGAAAAAATGTTTTATACGTAACATGGATAAACTTGAAGACAGTTGCCAAATTGAAATACCCCCAGGTCAAAAGGGGCAAATCATATATGATTCCCCATATGGAAGGTACCTAGGAAGTAATTAGATTTACTAGACGAAATAGAATTGGTGATTGTCAGGTGGTTGAAAGGAGGCGAAATGAGTAGTTATTGTTTAATGGGGTATGAAGTTCCAGGTTTAAGAAAGGATAGTTTTCGGGAGATGGTGTGGGGATGCATTTCTACGCATGACTGCACTTAGTGCTAAGGAACTGCACAGTTAAAATGGGTGGAATAATAATTTTATGGTTATATACCTTTTTATGGAAACCTCTCTTATAAATCATTTTTTCGAGCTAAAACATAAATAAATGGAATCAGACTGGTATTTTTTTGTGTTTACTCCAGGCCATATTCAGCTATACAGCAGGGGGCTAGGATGGAGAGTTTGATTTTAAAACTTGTTGTTTTGCTTTTATATTCAGTAAGAAATCATTTATATAGCGGTACTTAGGATAAGAAACAATGAGGGAATTGAGGAAACGAAGGTAGTGATAGGCATTAAAATGCTGGGAGAATCATACCTGGTAGGCTTGGTAGATTGTGAGAGTTGGGGTGTTAGGTACTATGAGCTGAAAAATAGAAGGCAGTATTCAGAGAGGAGTGTGTGAAATTGAGATTATGGAGATATTTAAATTGTATATACTGACAAAGCCTAAGATACAGTCTTGGGAGTAAATGATTTAGGGTTGGTTGAGGACAAAAATCAATGGAGAAGAAAAGGTAAAGAAAGTAAGGACGTTCACCATTCACATCAAAAACATTAAATTAAAATAAATTCTGAAAAAAAAAAAAACTGAGAGGCCAGGGTATTGAAAGTATCATCTATGCAGATATTGAAAATATCAAGAATTGTTATGGCAGTATTGTTATAAAGAGTGTCAGTGAGCCAGGAGTTAAAATTTTCAGGGAATGAAAGTTACGGAGTGGTGTGGGGCAGATGGTGGCAATAGATGATTGCAACAATGAAGAGTAGGGGACAAAATAGAGTCATATGATAATATTCAAAGTGTGTCATTTGTAGGAAGAAGAAAAAAGAGTGATCTGGAAGCAGCAAAGAACTCATGTACTCCATCTGGCCAACGGCATAAGATGCATGAAAGAAAATAAAGCCACCACTTGATAGGGTTGCAGCAGCAGCAGAAGTGTTCAGCTTCAACTAGAACATGACATTCATGCTATGTTCAGAAAAGCATTCAGTGACAAAGAAGAATTTCCCAGTGATTGGTGTTAAAGCTTAATCAGGCAATGACCAGAAGGAAAAAGCATATAGTCTGACAAAATCAGATTTTTTGGTTTGATGCCATGAGGAAAGGCACCCCAGAGGAAATGTGGAATGCAGCTTTCAACAAAAGGGAAGAGAAAAGCATGTTTTGTGAGGTTTGGGTTTCTGTTGAAGGAT